GCAATTTAAACGACGAAAGATGTATTGAACAATGTTTGCCCCATTTGTTGGGGAAACTTTCGTCTGATGCAAGATAATGCTCGTCTGCACATTGTAAAAATAACACGAGATTACTTGGATGAAATTAGGATTTCTTTATTACCATTGCCCAGTCGTAAATCAAAATAAAGTATACATGGGTTATTCTATGACGACCTATTCCATGTAACCATGTTGAGTTTCAAAACATTAATGACTAAAGGAAAACAGTTCGTGATGAATAGCAGCTAATCAGTTAGAAAGAATTGTTGCTTCATTTTCAAGAATACCTAATCGAATGAGAAATGTGGAGATCATACACAATACCAAAGATTGTTATTCATTAAAATATGTTTAAAATGAAACAGATTTTTAACTTTTTTGAATTTTTTATTCTTCTTTGTTAAATATTATTTTCTGTTAAATTCTTGATTTGTAATACAATTTTACTTTTAAACGCCAGTTTTTAGAAAAATTTGGGTGTCCGCTTAATTTTGCTTTCCAGTGTATATATAAATCGAACCGTGAATTTTAAACAAATGTTTCAATAATATTCGCGGCATAAAAAGCTTAGGAACAAGGACAATCAAAAGGTGCCATGATTGTTTTTATCTAAACGCAAATATCTTTTATGTACACCTTTGCGTACTTTCAAAAATTATAAATTCATGTTTCCATATTTTTTGTCTATGAATGTAATAACTTGTAACAATTGTAAAAACATTAATACCTAGTTACTAAAAGGTCTCGTTTCACCTACTATTCATTTATAGTAATGATAGCAACAGACTTAATAATTATTAAAAAAGAATGGTATCTGCAAATATTAATCAGTTGCAAATTACATTATTTTAAATATACAAAAATGTACATTATTTCCTTTAAAGTTCTTGCACGTCATCAATGACATTTCTGCGTCGCCACAGTACAACCAATTGTTCGAAATTACCTATATTGTAGTAATGTAATTTTAGAATTATCGTTTTTTTTTATGATAATTTTTTAACTATTTTGAATTATATACATCATTTCATCAATCATCAATAAAATCAAATTTAGAAAAAAATTTGGCACTTAATTATCAATTTTCAATGATTAAATATCATTAAAAAAACAGTACGCTCATGTATCTTGAATTTTTAGAGTGCAAATGACGGTTAGGCATTTAATTTAATTTAATAAGGTTAATTAGTATACAGTAATTGTCATTTTGATTTTTTATAGTGAAATAAATATTAAAAAATACAATATATATATAGAATAGCTCAAATAATATATAAAAAAAATATTTTATTAATTATGCTTACATTACATTCTTATTAATGTCAATGATATTACAAAAAATTGATGTTTTGGGAATATATTTGTTAAAAAATAGTATTAAATAGCTCTAAAAATCATACGAACAAGCTGAATTTTTCTGAGAATATCAATTTTTGGATGCAAAGAAGTTTTTAACTACAACCCCGGACTTCACCCTATAACCCCTCCTCATAGGAGGAAAACATTTATTTCTCAAGAATCTGTACGCTGTACAAAAATTGTTGCAAACAAGAAATGGGGCTGAGATAATTTTAAATAAAATGTTTATTAGCAATTTCCAGTTCTCTTTTCTCACTTTTTAGTTCTCTCAGAAACAACAGTTGAAGAGACCGGCGATTTTGAATTTCGTGTACTGAATTGAATAAAACTTACCTTAGAAATTAAAAAATTATTTTTTAAAGTACTATTATGAAAGGTATTTTTTCATCATCAAATTTTTAGGCGGTTAACTGACTTTTGATATAATTAAATGACCCAAATGCCATAATTTAGCAAAATCCATTAAATTTAATAATAAAGTTCACAATATATATTGTTATGATATGTAAAATCGGGAAAAATATTGGTTTGCTTAAAATATTTCAAAGTTCAAAATATTTTAAAATAATTCAGATAAGTCGAATAATAAACTACAAACATTTCGAAGAATGAAAGTCTTTTATCTTTGGATTACCTATATTGAACAAAACGTAAGATATGCATAAATTATTTTCTTTGTTAAAATATATTTGAGTGACGTGAATAAGCTTAAGTGAAATCTTAGACAATGGAAGCGGGTTTTCCAAATAAATTTGTGCAGTAATTAGGACAATAGAATAGATTTTAGAAAGATATGTTTTTGTTAGTTCATAAGAATTGGTAGAAAAAGATTAGTTTGTAAATAAGTTTTAGGACATTTTATAATTGTAGGTAAAAATTTGTTTGTTATCGAAATGAAGAAATGGGAGATGTATGACGCGTTTTGATTGGATGAGATTGAAAAAGGTGGGATGGTTGGTTTGAGAATGAGACTTTAGTTAGTTTTTGAAGAAAAAAAGATAGTCAGTTGGTTTCCAAGGGTGCAAGGCGAACGGCCGTTGTTCTCGGGTAGTTTCCCAGAGGTAGGAAGCAGTAGCAGTGAAAGTTTGTGAGTTTTCGTGTAGTTAGTGTATCTGACAGAAGCTGATCCAGTAAAAGATTGTATGTCATATTTTTCTACTTATATTCCAAGAGTCACTGTTCAGGCCAACGAGAGATTCAGTTTATCGTAAAGAGAAGATATTCCAAGAGTTATTTTTCACTCAGGCCAACGAGAGATTCAGTTTATCGAGAAGGAGAAGAGGCTAGCATAATTTGAAGGATTCGTGCATTTGAAGGAGATCATTAAGGACGATAAACTTGCAACAATTTGTTGTAAGATTGCTGATTACCTAGGGAGCTGCTAAGAATAGATAGTATAGGCTACAAGGAACAAGGATTTGGACCACTCATCATTAGAGAGAGATAGTTTTGTTTTTCTGCAGTTTTTCTTTTATTGATAACACAATTTTTACAATTACTTTAGAAAAGATATAAATATTTTGATTAGGAGATTTAGAATAATAATTGGGATTTTGAGATTTTAACTAATATTGTTTGTACCATTAATTTTGAAGGTTCACGTACGTAGAACAAAATTTTGAGAATCATTATATGAGATATTGTTTATTGAAAACATTTGAGTGTGAATTTTATTTCATTATTTTTATTTCAATATATAATGTTATATCATATATGTTTTTTATTATTCCGGTATTCTTTGGACCTTACCTTTCACATGTAAAGCATAGATATTGAAGCACGAGTATAGAGGGCAACAATTTTCAACAGGTTTGTTGCCTTGGAAACCATCAGGGTCTTCTAACTCTAATGCCACAAATTGGTTGCATTGCTCCTGTAGTGATCCTTTCCCAAGTTAATATGCTCCTTTTCTAACTTGGCTACACCGTACTAAAGACGACCAATAGTCAGAAATACGTATATACGGTTGCCTTCCATCGATATACCATTTTTTGGTTTTTTGTTTTGCGAGACATGCCATTACTTTTTACTTTTATTATTCACTCGCATTATCCTTTTCCATTTTCTATATATTTTTTCTATATATATATAATATATATATAATATATATATATATATATATATTTCTATATATATATATATATATATATATATATATATATATATATTATATATATATATATATATTATATGTATATATATACTGTGGCAACATTACTGTGTACTGCTCAAAGTTAGTCTAAAACATTTGAAGGGTTTTTACCCATGTATTTAGGGGCTTCAAACATGTACACCCAGATAGCACTGGTGATGGAATCGTTATTTCGAAAACGTGCAGTGATATAGCCCAATAGGGTTTTTTTATTATACCTTTTATAAAGGAATTTTTAAATAAATTTGATGTATAAATGTGCTCCAACGATCACGCAGATTTTGACATTCCCCAGATGTAAGCATCAGGCGGTGTTAGATCATGGGATTGTGAATGATAGGAGACATCAACCCCACAAGAAGTGATTTTTTCTAGAAATAATTTTTGCCGTATAGCCACAGACTGTGGAGCGGTGTAGCAGGCCAAATTTCCATCCCAAAGGTACCATCTTTTTACATCCTAAAGAAATGGTCTTATCGCCACGTTCATATAACTTTTCTGGATAGTAGGAAGAGATGTACCGTCATCATGCTTAATGAAATACAGACTAGCACACAGATTTCTCTCACTACATACCAACTCGTCAAACGCATACTATGTAGTGCTTTCTGGACGATAACAGTTACTCTTCTAAAAACCAAGAAAGCGACTTTGGTGATTGATAACCGTGTGAGTGAATGTGACTTTCGTCGAACCACAAGTTGAGCAAGGAATTTGGATCCTCGTACACCATAGCTAAAAATATTAAATCCTGAGACGCCTATCTTGCTTCGTAAATTGTTGTCCAACCTGTATTAGGTACGGATATCCATAAATGTCTTACAAACAGTAATCGGATGTTTAATTTCAGAACTGTTTGTCGAAGACTTCACTTTGGTGACGCCAACACCTGAGTGAAGATGTTTCCATGATTGTGGCGTAGATAGTGACCTACATGACCTTCCATTGACACAACACACTACCTGGACGAACTATGTCCGCACGAGTGAAAATATGTTCATTATGAAACTTGTTCTCCGTCACTAGGCATGCGTCTGTGGTCTGCTTAATAAATATCACGAGAGTTGAAAGATCGTAAAATACACGATATTTGTATCTAATTTGTTACAAATATAAATTTTTTTTGTCATCCATTTTATCTATACATCGGAAGTGATGAATTTATAACAATAAAAACCTTATATTTTCATCGTTTCACAATTCCCTAGATTCTCTATTATCGCGACAATATGGCAACTCTGTGCGAAAATGTTAACGTCAAAATTTGATGACGTGCAAAGATTTTATAAGAAAATACCAATTATAAACACACCTTCATTAGATTTAGATTACAATTTTCTGTAGCTACTAAAATTTTGTAGAGTTTTTAGGTTAGAATCAGCTTTTCTTATTTTAAAGAGAAAAGACAAAAACTTCACATTTTATAAAAAAAGGAATGCTTTGGTTTAATTTCTATGAAACTATATAACTTGTTGCATTTTTTAATATAAAGTTCGTTTAAAATTTACATATTTTAACATCATTTCACCACATTTTAAAGTAGCTACAAGAATGTTAGTCTTATATTGTTTGTGTATAAATTTCATCAGTACTCAACAATTATCCTTCCTGCTCAACATGCGTATATCTCAAAGGAACAATTTGTACATTACAGTTCGACATGGCACCAATCATCGACACTTGCTACAAACTCTCACTGGACTGTCCCACCCTCTCGACGGTACCGCTTTTCTAGATCCGGAACATTCATTGCACACCCCCCTTCCACATTCTCTGCAGTGATGCAAAGGTCTTAATGGTCCAAATTGCTTTTTACAAACCCAACATTCTATGCATTCGTTGTCAGGAGTCCAGTATGTAGGTCGAGCGGATTCTTTTATGTATTCCTTAGGTATATCTAACACCGACGTGACTGCAGAAATGGTACTGATAACTGTTTCGCCAATTTGTCGAGCACGGTTTTCTGAAGGATCTCCCATATTGGAAAGAGTCGGTGGTTGATCGCTGTAACAACTGTCACATACCCTTACATCTTCTAGCCAACCCCGCGCTGGAACGGGCTGCCGTTTGGAAGAACAGCCTTCGCAGAAACCCTCACCACACGAGCGACAATGGTGTTTTTTGGCGTTTGGCAGGAATGGTATTTTACACAGGAAACATACCTAAAATAAAAATAAGATATCAAGTATTCATCACCTACGATATGCATATAGTGGAGCGCCTGGGGGTTTTCACCTCGGATTAGAGTTATAGTGAATGAATTAATATGATCGATGTGGAATATTGTTTTTAAAACTATAAATTGCAATGTTTACCCAAAATTTTTTTGTGCACTCTATTTTTTTTCATTTTTTAAACAAATTATTATAAAAAATTAATGTTTGACCATATATTTTCACTGTGAACAGTGTTTTTTTTATTATATGTTAAATTTTACCTGAATAGGCATATAGGAAACATTTTTCAAAGATACCTGTGTATAAAAATAGCAGTAGGGATCTCGAACAGGTAGAAAAACGTGGAGGGGAGAGCGAAGCGACACTCTGTAAATGGAATTTCTCGACCAGTTTAATTATAAATGAAACGTACTCTATTGTGTACATTTAAAAAAATAAGGTAATAAGTAATTACGACTAATGAAAAGAAAAAAAATATTAGTATAAAATCTGTTTATTTAAATATATTACATTGTTGTCTATATCAAATAAGATTTTTAAAAATCAATTGTGATAACGCTTGCTGTAATAAATTATAAGCACGTACAGCTCTAGCATACGCATGTCCAGATGCCATGTGCGTATCGGAGTCCTTTACGAGTGCACCAACTTAAAGGTAGATGGCGCTGCCAGGCATAAATGATAAATTTGCAAGTTTTAGATGGATTTAAAAAGTACTGGGGTCCGTCTGACCCCACAACGCCAGTTGGGGGTTAAATAAAGTTAATATAACAGTCTACCATTTTGCAATAACAAAATCAATTTAATTAGTTGATTCATAGTTTCATGGATATTTCATTTAATTGTAAAATTTTTCTTATTGTTGTGAAGTTAGTTTTTTTAAGAGGATCGAGTAGGAAGAGAGGGAAATCTTAATCTTTGCTTATGATCGATCAGGACCTAGTATAATTCCATCTGTTTGTTTCGTAATGTTAATTGCTGTACAACGTTATATCATTTCCGAATATGTGTGTGAGTTAGGTACATGTATTTAAAGAAGAATATGTGATAGACAAAAGTTGAGTATATCTACTTACTTTAATTTCGTGGTTTGGCCTCCAATAACTAGGTGCTATTTTATCAGCTGCCCAATCGCTCAGTAACTTTTTAGGTTGAGATCCTACATGAGATATCACATCAGTGAACATGCTTACTCCATCCAAAACTTTTTGAGCTGAATTAAGAGATCCAAATAACGATCTCTCCTGAAAAAAGGGTTTGTTCTATTTAAAGCATATTTTGTTGTACACACAGTATGATTTTAAAGCCCTTAAAGACATTTCTGAGATGATGTTTTAAATCTCAAATATGCAAATGTGTGTGTTTAGGACAACAACAATTAATATAAGTGTATGTATGTGACGTATTATTACGTGATGTCTCTAAGGGTTTAAATAATTTATCAATACCACTCACCCCGGGCCACATATGAACTACCTCTGCCCTTACGGCTGAATCTTCTGGATTTTTGTTACCATACCAATGCTGTCTACTTCGGAAAATTTCTCCACATTTAGGACACTCTATCACATAACCAGACCATACGTAATTTAAATAGCTCGACCAGGAATTATCACTCACCGTTTGATAACTGGGTTTAACGATTGATCTATGTCCGTTTTTGTAGCAAACCTAAAATAAATAAACAACTGTAGTATATATCCAAGCATTGATATCGCGAAGAAGTGCGTCTTTTGTTTCGTATGCAGAGGCATAGAGGGCGCCACTATTGAAATATTTTGAGGCGTTAACCTGTTTTCCTTCACAGTGACTCGACTAGAACGTTTTAAAATATGTAATCACCTAACAATCCAACATGAACTAAAAACTCATTGTTTTACATACCTAATAATATGCAACATTGAAGTTCAAACAATAATTAATAATTAAAATAAAAAATATTTACCTTACAAAGATACACATAATTTTGATACTGATGCTGAAACGTACAATCTTGAGTACTTTGGTGAGGTTCGCCTTCTTCCTTGTGACCCATTGATAGACTACAGTTGTTTTTACACGACTGACATTTTTCCGTGCAGGTAAAGAAGGCGGGTAAATAAAGTGGTGCAGTACTGTCTTGGATGTCGGTTTGAAATTTGTCATTTAAACTCTAAAATAATAAGTAAATATAAATCAAACATACATTTTTAGCTCTTTGTGGAAATGATAATAAAAAGGACCCTATTTGGTACAAAAGATTGCGGAAAAAAGCACTAGATAGTAAAATGTAGGGGCAAGATGAAAAGGAGGGCGAAATGCCTTTAAGTGAAATTTATAATATAAATGTCACTTAAAGGTGGTAATGGAGTCAACAGACTGAAAGGGTCGAAACGAGAGGTAATGATGATAAAGAACAAGTCACAGCACGATAAGCAAGGTTTCCTGAAAAGTAAGAGACATGAGGAAAGAAAATGTAACAGAATGGGAAGAAAAAGGAATGAAAGGAGGATGGGAAATAAAGCAAATAACTGTGTTAAGGATAAAATAGTGAAAGTAGGAGGAATATGGTAAAATAGAGAAAAGAAAAAAACGGGAGGGGGGCGTGTTGAGGTATGTGTTAATGGGTGATTAGTAAGGAAGGGTGGTTGAAAATGAGCGAAAACAGTAGCAAAAAAAAAGAATGAAAATTTAAAGACAATTATTAAAGAAAGGAGGAATCACAATCAGAACAAGTCAGTCTGTAAACTTGACTACGGTCACAGTCACCTTTACTTCCAAGCCATGAAGTAGAAATTTGGCAACAACGCGTGGTAGTCCGACCGTGGTTTGTTTTGTTTAACATTGCATATGGAAGGCTTGTAAAGTTTGTTGAATTTAGTGTTTTTTTAACTTTATTCGAATGTTTTATTTGTAAATTGTGTTTAAATCAATTAGAAAATATTAATATACTTAAGTGAAATTTCATTAAATTTAGAACTTTTAGCAAGATTCTTAACGACAATTTAAAAGGCAAGTATAAATATAACCTACAAAACAAACTGAAAATAATAATACTTTTTGCTTCTTGTTACAAAATATGTAAACTAAAAACAACAATAATAATACTTTTGTTTTTTGTTACAGATGCTCTGGCATTGTTGTGTACCTGGTTGCAAAACCAATTATGCCAGTACTTTAAAAACGAAACAGGCAGAAAGTACGTTTTCGTTTCCCAAAGATCCCCAAAGAGGGTATACTGGGTTATGCTCTATTCATAGAGAAGGCTATACAATTACCAAATCTTCCGTAGTATGTGCCAAACATTTTCATGAAGATGATATTCAGCGGACTGAACAATGAGAAGATAAAGATGGAAATGTACACATTGAAAAGTTAATATTTCCCAAATTAAAAAGCAATGCAGTTCCTAATATATTTCCTGAAGTACCATCATATGTAACTAAGATCATCGTACTAAAGAAAGAAGGAATCCCGAAGACAGAAGAAACTTTTTGCATAAGAAGAGGGAACAAGAGATAACATAATTATGACAATTAGACTTAGACAATAATATCCCATTGAAAAACTGGACAAGTAAAATTACAAGTGACTGTGTATATTTCTATGTATTAAACATTAATCAGTTGGGACACAAGTGAGATAATTTTTGTGTAATACGTAGTGTAATCGTTAGCAGTAATTTTAGTGTAATCGTCAATGTAGGTAAGAATAGATTAAGTAGTAACGATTTGAAATGGATTTTACAATATAGTAAAATAACAAGATGTTCACAATTAGAGAACTTACTTTCTCATTTAGATCTGCTTTTTAGATAAGTGATAACAAATTTGAGTATTACATTCAAAAATCTTTTGAGAATATAGGCTATTTTAAATCGATATACAAGTTATAAATGATATGTTACATTCAACACATTTTTCATGTATACCTCTTTTAACTTGGTCTATATGACAAAAAACCTATTCATATTTAAAATTGCTACTTTCGTATACCTAAGTATAAAAATTCAACAAAAGTTATAAATAGTAAAATATTTAATTTTGAATTAGATTAATTTAGAACAATATTTATATTGTGTCTGATTTCTTAGGATGAATTTTTTAATCATAATAGTTACACTAAGTTTTTACTTAACAAATTTATATCTTTTGTATTTTTAATAATCTTTTTAAATGTCGTGTTAATGTATTGTGTTATTTATATGCTTAAGTACTTAATATTTAAAATTTCTAGAGATTCTTGACTGCATTTGATTGTAAGATTAACTGTTTGACACTGTATTTTAAGTGCAATAAATTTTACTCTAGTGATTATTTTATTGATAATATAACCTAAATAATAATAAAACTTTATATATATTTATTAGGTAAATATAAGGTTTTATTAATTTAATTTCCCTAAAATATTTCTGTAATGAATTGAAGTTTTCAAAATATCAGTTTTCTAAAATTCAAATTAGTTTAATTGTCTGGTAGACCCATCGAGCAAAAAGACAAAAGAGGGAATCTAATCGTTATCAAAAGGAGACCAAAAAAGTGGCCTCTGATGGCGGACATATCCGGAAATGCAAAGGTGCTAAATTTAAAAATCTAAAGTTTTAATTAAATATTAACGATAATAGTCTAAAAAGTGACACAATTGGTAAAAAACTTCAATATAAATAAAGTTTTATGTGACAGTTGGGACAAACAATAACATAACCAAACTAAATTTGATTTCTTAAACAAGGAGAGAGACTGTCTTTCCTTGTTTAAAGTGGCCTCTCAAGATAGCACTTCCTGTTTAACAATATTTTTGTCCCCACTACCGTTACATTCCGTCTTTTGTCTTTTTGCTCGATGGGTAGACCTTACAGCTGATTATCGGACTACCGACGTCATAGAATGCGGTGTTGCCTTTTTTACTTCATGGCTTGGAAGTAAAGGTGGCTGTGCTACGGTTCATATAGTGTCGACATGTAAATTTGCGTAGAAGAATCTTGACGAAAATCAGAATTCTGAAGCAATCTAGATTCTCTTTTACGGATGAGTTTATCTATTATAAAAGGATTATAACCATTGTTGACATAGGATGGAATAGTCTGTGGATGAAACTTCTAAAAGCAGCCAATTTATGTGATAGAGGGTGATTGGAGGAAGAATAAATGACATGATCGGTTTGGGTGGGTTTATGAAAGATACCAAAGTCGAATTGATTATTGAATCTGGTAATAGATAAATCAAGAAAGTTAATGGCTTGGGAAGATACTAGTTCCATGGTAAATTTGATATATGGGTGGGTTTGATTAATTTTAAGCAGTACTTGTTGAGGTAGTAGTTAATTTTTTTCTTAACTTTGCTTATATGTAAGTTTTATAATTATTAATTATAGTATATAGATATTAGATTGTCAACAATACTTACTTTTAAAGTGAGATATACATATTTGGCGTCTCTCATCGTTCTAACCTCGGTACTTTCCAATTTATCTAACACAGTCATTTTTAAATCTTTAAAATTAGTTTCGGGTCCTACCGTTTGAACACCGATATATTTAATAAAACTAAATGCATCGTACGATAATCCCAATGCTGCAAAGTCTGTTCTGAGAATGTCCTCAGTGGACTGCGTTACGTTCGACTTTACGTGTAAAGTATCCGTGTGCCTAAAATATATAATTATTAATTATAAACTAAATTTAAAAGTATACATTATATATAATTAGTTGCTTTAGACAAGAATAACGAAGACATGAAAATCGTTTCATAAAAACGGTTGCCATGTTGGCGTATTACACCCCACATATTTTTCTTTAGTCACAATATATAGGATATACCTACTGACGCTTGCAGCAACCTTGCGGTATACAACAATATACAGAGTGGCCCAAAAGTCTGGAAACGACTAATTATCTCGTAAAATGCTAATCATAATTGTACAAAATTTGAGGTACACCTATTTTGGGATACGGAGATTCCATATTTGATATTTACAATGTTGCCAGATTTGCCGTTTTTCTTATATTATTAGTAACTTTGGTTTTTCAAATACATCACCCTGTATATTCAGTCATTATTGGAATCTGTTATTCAATATGAGTTCAACCATATGTAACACTTATGATTTTATGTAATCTGGAAGGTCATAAATACATAAAACCGAAGTCTGGCAACACCTAAATTGTTTTAATAAATTTTTTAATACTATTTTCAAATACATTAAAACGTAACAATTGATAGTTTAGAACATTTTTTAACATAGTAGTTACGTTATTAAGTGTTCAAAATGTGCTCAATTTGTGAGTTGACAGCACCCTAATCGATGGTAGAAGGCGTCTACCATATTTCTCCATGATTGTCTAGAAATTATTCGAGATTCATTGATAATTCGTTGCCTTAGCTCTGCAAGACTTGCTGGTTAAGTTTTGTAAACTGAATTTTTGAAGTATCCCTAATAAAAATAATCTTTAGGATTGAAATCGAATGAAAGTGGAGGCCATTCAATTCTACCTTGTCTACCCATTTATCGTTCAGGAAATATCTCATCTAAATATCGCCGAACATTTACACCAACTATCTGACGTTAAATTTCTTTCGACAAAAAATGACCCAATTGAATAAGTAACTACTATATCTGACCATACAGTTAATTTTTGTGGTCTTTGAGTATGGTTTTCACGCATTCAGTCTTCAGTGTGAATTTACGTCACACCAGTACCTTCAAAACTCGATTTTAGAGAACGTACAAGAGTCTTTGAAAACACCTACCATGTTGGCAAAAAATGAGTGGATGACACAAGAAATTCTAGATCTGATGGAAGTTCGACGGCAACACAAAAATAGAAATATTATCGAATATCGTGAAATTAATAAACGCATAAAAAGAAAAATTAAGCAAGCCAAAGAATCCTGGCTTGAGAATTTATGTAAAGAAATAGAAGACCTCCAAAAAAAGCATGACAGCTTCAACCTGCATAAGAAACTTAAATATACTGCCGGAATTAGAAAACAGAAAAATGCTCACATACTTAAAAGCGCGGACGGAAAAATTTGTGATCACGAACAACAGTGCAAAGAATGGGAGAGATACATCACTGACCTTTTTGACGATGCTTCTAGGGAAAATGCTCCAAATACTGCCTATGACAACCAGTTGGACAGAGGTCCCAATATACTGAATTCGGAAGTCGAAAAGGCAATACAGCAAGCCAAAAACAATAAAGCACCTGGACCAGATCAAATCCCTGCCGAACTACTTAAACTTTTTGATGAGGAAAGCATTGCCTGCTTAACCACTTTCTTCAACAAAATTTACAACGAAGGAAAAATACCAGATGATTGGTTAGAGTCACTGTTTATAACATTACCAAAGAAAAGCAGGCCCACCAAATGCAGCGATTTTAGACTAATCAGTTTGATGAGTCACACACTGAAGATACTCTTACGAATTATACAAAACCGAGTATTCCTTCTATGCGAAAGTAAGATGGGTGATAAGCAATTTGGATTTAGAAACGGTCTAGGAACTAGAGAGGCACTATTCTGTATGCGCGTTCTATTACAAAAAAGTTGTGAATTCCGAAAGAATGTTTATGTTTGTTTCATTGTGTTGCATATCGCAACCTAAAAAATTCATAGGTCGAATTGCCGATAATGCAAGACAGATGCTGTTTCTATTTGCTGCACATAATTGCGAGAAATTCCCTTCTTAACCTTTATGACGTCGACAACAGTCATTCTATAATTTCTGACAACTCTCTAATATTTGTCACTTTTAAAATAAATCGCTCATTTCTCCACAAAAGATTTTGTGTTATATAAAAAAAAAAAAAATATAGTTTTAATTATTAAGTGTAATTTAAAGTAATTTCGAGAGTGTGATCGCCAAAATATAAGGTAACCAATTTTATTTTATTATAACTACATAGAACCAAAATCGAAGGTACTGCTTCAATAAGCAGTTAGCAACATATTCAGGGGGAGAAATAAAATCCCCCTATGTTCTTCATGATCCTAACGAGCCGGATACAGCAGCTGTTCCCGTCTTTGTAAAGCTGGAAGCTGGATTTTTCATTGATAAACCACGAAGGCGATCATTTCTCGTCTCTACAAAGACGCTTTCACGCAAGAATTCTCAAGATTCTCTCACATTATTCGTAAAAAATCACTCGTTTCCTCATTTCTTCGCAAAGAAAAGACATAGTTTTTATTCTTTCATATTCACACATCGCAGTTTTGGCGGTTCCACGATCCAAGGTTCTTCGTATTGGCGCCGTCCGGAAGGTTTGGTTTCGTCACTTTGAAGGGATAAGAAGTTTTATGTTTCGGTCGCGGTTGGACTGTGCGGTTTGGTCACTTATTGTAACTTTTACGAATTGGTTTTTTGTATCGTCGCATGTTATTTTATTTTATTTTTAGATTCGCAGTGCTTATAAGTAGATTTTTATGGTAATATTATTTAGTTCTTAATACTAAGTATCTCTTGTTATATTTAAAATTTGTATTATTTTTTCTCACGCTCAAAATGACTGATGTTGCAAAAATTATAAAGTTAAGAGGGCATACTAAAGCTTGTATTACTAGAATTCAAACATTTGTCTCAAAAAACCAAAATGTAGTTTTAGATTGCGGTCAATATATTGCACGCAAAAATGTATTAAATGAAACTTATCGCAAGTATCTCAACTTACAAGAGGAACTTGAATTAGAAGATTTTGATAAATATTGTTCAGATAGGGACATAGTTGAAGAACAGTATTATAATTTAGACTCATATTTGCACGAGAAAATCACGCAATTATCTGCAAAACCAGTTGAAACTCAACCTATTGTAACAAATGTAACACCATCTGTCAGCACAATTCAAAATGTAAAGTTGCCAGAATTAAAAATACCTTTTTTCTCGGGCGAAATATCAGAATGGCCCAGTTTTTTTGAAGTTTTTACCAAATTAATAACAAATGATAAACAGTTATCTAATGCTCAAAAACTTATTTATCTCAAATCAGTGTTAAGGAATGAACCGTTAAAGTTAATTGACAATCTAGAAATAATTGATTCCAATTTCGAAATTGCAATAAAAAATTTATGCGATAGATTTGAAAATAAATATTTAATAGTAAACAGCCATTTGAACAGTTTATTAAATGCTCCACTCATTACAAAACCCAATGCACATGTTCTAAGGGATTTCTTAACTCAAATTAAAAGCCATCTCGCCGCCTTAGAAAACCTCAACATCTCGAATCAACTCACTGATTTAATTCTCATCAATCTCTTTACTCAAAAATTAGACTATAATACTAAAAGATCATTTGAAACCGATCGTAATATAAACAAACTCCCAAGTTTATTGGAGTTCCTTGAATTTATTGAAAGAAAATGCAAAATTCTCGAAAATCTTGCTCCTGAGTATTCCCATTCTCCGAAACAAAAACAACTTTCTCGTTTTACTTCTCTTAACACAGTTAGCAATAATTTGCAGTATAGTAGTAATAATCAGTATTTTAAATGTTTCTTATGTCAAAATAACTCTCATAAAATATACACTTGCCAGGAATTCTTAAATATGTCTGAAGATGACCGTTTTCAAACGGTCAAGGCAAAGAAAGCGTGTCTCAACTGCTTGGCTAGTGGTCATTCAGCAAGCTCATGTACCTCTTCGTCGAATTGCGCCAAATGTAACAGGAGACATCACACATTGCTCCATTTCTCTAACGCTTCTAATCATAACTCAAATAGTTCTCGGTTCATTTCAAGAACAAATCAAGATTCTTGTAGTCTACCCACTAGAAACACTCACTTCCAAAATACTCGTCACTCTCAAGACTCACAAGGAAATCGTAATTCTCAAAATACTCGCCAGACTCACAATATACATGATACTTCAAATTCTCGTACTCACTCTAATGTATCTCGTGATCCCAATACTCAAGGCGAAACTTCAAGTTCTCCTGCAATTCCACGAATAGCAAATCAATGTCAGTCTAATGATGTCTACCGAGCATCATCTCTCTCTGCACTCTCAGGCAAAAAGGAGGTTCTACTCCAAACAGCATGTGTTACAATTTATGATTCTCATAATAATCCCGTTAAGGTTCGCTGCCTTACAGACTCAGCTAGTCAGCTTTCGTTTATCACTGAGAAATTAGCAAGTCGCTTGAAATGTATTCCTTACACAAAAAGTCTTCACATTTCTGGGATATCCGAAATCTGTTCGACGTCGAATAAAATGGTGGATTTAAATATTTTCTCAAATGTCAATCCCACAAAACATTTTACACTCTCTTGTGCGATTCTCCCAACCATCACTTGTAAGCACCCTCAAATTACATTGGATTTTAATGCCCTCAAAATTCCACCAAACATTCACCTGGCTGATCCAGAATTTTGTACTCCTGCCGAAGTTCAAATGTTGCTTGGAGCAGATGTTTATTTCGACTTACTCACTTATGGGTTAATAAAATTAGGCCCTAATCTTCCTACCTTAACAAATACTCATCTCGGATATCTTGTAGGTGGAAATGTACCTCAATCCTCTGGGTTAATTGACTCATATTCCATACTTAACATTCAAGAAAATACTCAACCTCGAAATGAAGTATCCTTGTTCGTTCAAGCTCAAAATACCGATTCACTCGTACGGTCGTTTTGGGAAGTAGAAGAA